ATTTCCTGGTTGCTTACGACTGACAGCCCCAGTTTTTTCCTGGCTCCTAGATGGCAATTACCCTCCCTGAGGTCTGGAGGAGCCACACATAGTTCAGTGCAACGTGGGCTTCCTCAATTTGGCATGCAGTTCATCAAGTCAGCGACAAGAATCTTATTCTCTAGTCTGCAACATGGAGTCGTACAAAATGAGAATTACAGGAGGGACACCAGATCACTTTGCCACGTAATGTAATTGAATACAGTGACATCTTTCACCGTTGCCATTGAATGTAACCTACCTCAGCAGCAGGCCATCACCTTTATCACATTCTATTAGTTAGGGAAGCCGGTTGTAGGCAGTATTCAAACTGAAGGCAGGGGATTACAAAGGAGGAGGAGGGATATACAAAGGTTTGGATGCCTGCTAAGTCCTCCGAAAGCTGAACACAGAATTACCATATGACCTAGCTTTCCACTCCCAGGCATATATCCACCAGAACTTAAAAACAAGTATCCAGATGAATAAATACTTGTACACAAATGTTCATAGCAGCACTAATCATAATAGCCAAAAGTGGAAATAACACAAATGTCCAGAAACTGATGAATTTATTAAAGCAGTAAATTCATATAATAGAATATTACTCAGCCATAAAAAGGAATGAAATATTAATGCATACTATACCATGGATCCTATATTCTGCTTAGTTTACTGTTAAACCTATCTAAGGTCCATCTTTTGTATTTGCAGTTACATAATTTTTACAGACCTAAATTTTATGAAATTCATTATATTTATCTATTCTTTCCATATTTTCCTCAAATTTCTTTAAATTAGTAATCACAATTTTTTTTTCAGACCATCTGTGAGTTTCACAACCAACTCCATCTGTAGATCTGTTTCTGTTGTCTGTTTTGTTTTTCTTCTTGGTTTTTGGTTTCTTTTGTTGTGTCTAATAAACATACCTAATAAATATGTACTAAACAGACAACATATATAAAATGAGTGCATAAAATTCATCTCCTAGAATATCATTCATTCAACAAATATTTAGTGAACACTGACTGCATGCTAGGCACTGTGTCCAAGTGATACAAGAATAAACAGAGTACAATCCCTGCCATCCAGGAGCTTACAACCTAATGGGAAGAGATACTTAACATCATTAAAATGACTGATCCAATCCTCCAAACTCTGCGCTCCCTACAGTTCCTCTTACCTCTATTACCTCATCCCTCTAATCTGTCTCTCCCTTGATCACTCCACTCTCATCAGAAGTTTCTTCATCATTTGTTCAATATTAGGTATGTTTCAGGCCCAACAACTCTGCCTTTGTTCTTCGCACTGCCAAGCTGCTTTGCTCTTCTCCCTTGTAGCCACATGACCTACTCTGAACCTCCTTAGTTTGCTAAAGCTATTTAAAAGTGAACATAGCCCCAACCTCCAGCATTCCCTTTGGCAATTCCCTGTCTTTTATGTTCCACCATAGCAACTGTTACATGTTTTATTAGATGGTTATTGGTCATTTCCCCCCTCTATAGTGTAAGCTCCATGAGAGCAGGAAAACTTGTTTCAGTCTCTTACTCACTACTAATACCCTCAGCACCGCAAGTACTGTCAGACAAATAATGCATACTTGGTAAATATTTATTGAGTAGATAAATGAATGATTTAAAACTGGTAAGTTTAGGGTACTAAAGGAAAATACAGCAGAGGGCAATCTACCCTGCACAGTCAAGGAATGCCTGTGTGATGAGATTCTGTTAAATCTAAGACCTAAACCATGAGAAGAAAACACTCAGAAATTAATGCAGAAGCAGAATGAATATATATATTTAGGTTTTTGTTTTGTTTTGTTTTTTGGTACCAGGGATCGAACTCGGGTCCTTGAGCTTGCGCAGCAGGCGGCGAAACCACTGAGCTAAATCCCCGGCCCCAGAATGAAAATACATACATATATATATATATGACAGAGTTAACTACAGAAGTTTCAAGAACTGGAAAGGTGTCAAGTATACATATAATACATGATATATATAATGCAAACGGGAGGCCCACACATCAGTTGGGAGGTGAAAGCAATGGCCAGCTATTTAAAAGAGTTAAATAACTGGCCATTCAAGAGTTACTAAAGGCAAACATACAATCAGTTCTGAATTTCTGAAAGATCACTCAAGCTGAAGTGTTGAGAATTAATTGGATGGGAGCCAGAAAGGCTACAAAAACACCAATTAAAGCCTGATCAAGTAACCCAGACTAGGTGATTGTACCTGGAATTTGGAGTTAACTTGGAGAAAGAAAAAATTACATGGATCTGAAAACTATTAAAGTGAGTTTTCTATTGTATTAATCAAGAATGACTTCAGGTTTCTAGCTTGAGAAACAGTGTAGAAAATGCCACCATTTTCCCAGGTAGAATAGAAAAAGAAGAAGTTTATAGCACGGTCAGGATAATTTTTTTTTCTTAATGGACCAAACAGGAACAATTTTAGGCTTTGTGAGACATATGGTCTTTGTCACACTCAGCTTAGCCACTATGTAGAAACATATCTAGAGACAATATGTAAAGGAATGAACACATTGTATTCTTTAAAAAGCCAGTAAAAACAAGCACACCTGGGCCAAAATACTAAATCCTGGCTTAGAGACAAAGATGATGAGTTCAGCTTTTAACCTTACTTTTAGGTGCCTTGGAACATCGAATATTAAGAGTTGCTTAAGAAGGAACTAGATATGCAGTTCTGAAGTTCAGAAGAGATATCTGGAATACAGAGAGGCAGATGAATACATTATATATATATATATATATATACACACACACACACACACACACACATATATACATATATATACATATATACATATATATACATATATATACACACACACACACACACACACACACACATTTGAGATTGAAAGAAAAGATGAGGGAAACTGATGCCATGAAATAAGATTGCTCAGGGAAAATATGTACAAATAAGAACAGAAAGTATCCTCCTCAGAATCCAAGACAAAACTAAGATTTAAGGTACAAAGATAGAACGGAAAATCAGCAAGAAAACTACAACAGAGCATTCAAGAAAGGAAGAAAAATTTAAATAGAACTGAGCAATACATTAGAAATAGTATTTTAACAAGAAGGAAGTGACCAGGAACTCCAATGCCTGTAAGAGATTGAAATAAGATCAAGACTTAAAATTACATATTGGATTTAGCAAAAGGAAGATTTTGCTGGTAGCTTTGGCAAGACAAAGTGAAAGTAAGGAACAAGCCTTCTAAGATGTTTAATTATGAAAGGGAAGTGAGAAAGAAGGTGGCAGCTGTGGAGTGATGAGGGTCATCGTTGAGTTTTATCAGAGAAATGTGTTGTCTTTCCCACTAATCATGTGTATCTTACTTATCACAACATCCTTCCCACTCAGCCAAGTGATCAATACATCTGCTGACTGAGCATTTTTGTTGGTTTATTTGGTTTTTTTGGTGCCGGGGATTGAACTTGGGACCTTGCACTTGCAATGCAGGTGCCGGAACCCACTGAGCTAAATCCCCGGCCCTGCTGAGCATTTTTAATAGTGATGGGACTTAGAAAGGAACAAAAAGATGAGAATTTTAAGGTAGAGGAAAAAAAGAAAAGATACTCAGGAAAAACTGCAGCCTGTGATGCCTAGAATGAACACATCTGGAGCACAGAGGAGGAACTGGCTTTATAGAGCATGTAGAACACCTCCTCTTCCTTGAGACAAGAGAAAAGAAACAAAATGGATGAAAACAGACTGAGGCAAATATCGCTGTCCCTCAGCATCCACAGAGGATTGGTTCTAGACCCCTCAGCAATACAAAAACCCAAGGATGCTCAAGTCCCTTGTATAAAATAGTAGCATTTATATACAGACTGTCTCCTTCATACACTTTAAATCATCTCATGGTTACTTATAAAACCCAAACAAACTATGCCGGGGATTTAGCTCAGTGGTTCCAGTGCCTGCCTGGCAAGTGCAAGGTCCCGAGTTTGATCCCTGGTACCAAAAAAAAAAAAAAAAGAAAACCCAAACCAACTAAATATTATGTAAATAGTTGTTATATGCATTGTTTAGGAAATAAAAGAAAAAGTCTGTACATGTTCCAAACAGATGCACTTTTTTCCCCCAAATATTTTTAGTCCACAGTTGGTTGAATCAATGGATGCAGAATCTGGAGCTAGGGAGAGCTGAGTGTACACGTAAATACGGGCAAGCGGCTGAGGATGCTCATTAAACAGGGGCTGAGCTTTCTAGCTCTCCTGTAATGAATCAAATGATCCTCCACAATTAAAATCTATCCAGCACAAAATACCAAAAGGAATAAAAAGAAACACAAAGATGAAGAGTTCTTGCAGGCCAACTCAAATCATGAAGGTGAAAGCCTACACAGGGACCTGCTTCTCACTAGAAAAAAATGAGTAATTTTTCCTAGGGGCATGGCAGATCACACACTCCAATTTCTGTGTTTCCTCCTCAGAAGTTCCCAGCTACAAAGCTACTTATTCAGTGTTTGGGATCTAGTCACCTGTAGCCGTGCCACTTCTGCAATAGGGTTACAATTCACATTTTATACATTTGGAGAAAGGCCCGAGTAAATGCAGCACATCAAAATATATAAAATATTTAAGTTAAATCCAGAGATTTGACTCCCCCTGCTCCCTGCAGTGCTGGGGATTGAACCCAGGACCCCACAAATGCTAGGCAAGTATACTACTGCTGAGCCGCAACCCCAATCACTACAGCACATCTTCAATTGCCACGTTTTTTCCTATGAAAAGTCTGAGTTAATACTGATTCATTAAATGTAATGCTTAAGTGGTTTTTACACTCTTCTTAGTTTATGCCCTTCAAAATAATCCAAGTGTAAACAATACGATTTTCATTTTTGCCTCATGTGTATTCCAAAAAGCAATAATTACATTTTCTCTACACTTGTCACAAAATGTTTGACTTGAGGACATTGTACTATAAGGATCAGAGTAAAATAGTTCTCACCTTTACTACCCCATCAAAGCCAGGGATTGTGTTAACCTTCGCTTTCTTGGCCAATAATTTGCTTTCAATCTTGTCACCCATGGCTTGAATAGCATGTGTGTCAGGTCCAATGAAGGTGACATCTTCTTCTGCCTGTGGAGAAAAACAAGCTGAAATTTATAACAAAAGCATTACATAGCACAATATGAAGTTATGATTTTATAAAAAGAAAACTCATACGTTTACATATAATTACATATTTATAACTTCATATGGATAATTATTGTATTTTGTAACAAAAATGCCTTAGAAGTAAGCACCTGAGCCAACACACTAAAATAATGTACATAAGGCTGTATTGCACACAGTACATGTGCACATAGTCATATGAAAAATAACTGAAAATAATGAAGAACTACTGCTTGATTGTGACAATATTCTTCAGGAAAGCAATCTTTATGTTATATTTATTTACCATATTCTGCCACCCAATCAAAACATTAAGTTCATCCTTAAACTGCCTTATATATCTTTGTGCCCTTGATACTTTGCATTACAATGCGCAGTATAGCACAAACATCCACATTTATTGAATGTCAACTTTATGCCAGGCTTTGAGCTATGGAAGTGACATGGATGAAAGCCCCCAGATATCAACAAATTCAAGGCAACATGAACAAATCCTTGATAACTTGGAGAATCAAACAAAAAGGAGAATGTTAACATCCTGTACATGTCATTCTGACAAAAGAGTCAAGGATACAGTGGGAACTTAACCAGATAGAGTATGGTTTCAATTTTTTAAAAAATGCTATTCTGTACAAGCCCCCTTACTTCCCTGACAATAAACAGTTCCACCCCAAAATGCTAATGAGGGAAATTATGACTAGGGACAACAAAATACACTACAGTTAGCTCTACCCAGGAGCATGGTCTGGAAAAGTAAGGAGGAGTTTGCTGGAAGGATGAGGTCACTAGATAAAGACCTAAAGCTAAACAGAAAAAGGAAAAAAGCACCTGTATATGCTGAACACCATCAGAGTAAGGTGCCCAACTACTGATTCTCCTAAAACCTTCAGTCAGGTTTGGCATAAACAATAAGTTGCACATCTGTACATCACCTATTCTATTGGCAGGCACTACTGTTTGTAAAGTACCTTAGAATGAGGAAGGAACTTTGTGCTCCAGGAGTGTGTTGTTTGGACTGCCCTCCCAGAATTAAACTTACCCAATGCACGAAGTAGTAGAACAGGGATTAACAAAAGGCATATGCAAAGAGATCAATATCTGGAAGATTAAATTACTTCAACTTTGTACTTGCTGTATTGAGATGCCTGCGAGATTGTTGAGCACCCATGTTTAGGAGATATAGAGGTTGTGAAACAAGTCCAGGCTGAGATATGAATTGTTAAAGTCATAAAATACAGCAGGGAATTAAAATTTGTGAAAGAAATCATTCAAAGAAAATGTGTAGAAAAGCCAGTGTCTTTGAACCCCAGAATACACTTGCCCAAAAACAAGACAGAGGAAAGAAAAATTGTAGATTTTGAGTCTGTTTCATTGAGTCACCATGAAGATAACAGTTGTCTTCCAAGTTTGATTAAAGGATTAAATAAATAATGTAAAGTAGGAAAACTATCTTTCCTTCCACTCTTCTACATTTATGGCTCAACCTAATAGCCTCACTGAATGTAAACATTATATGCCATAACATGAGATAAATTTAATAATACCAACAAGAATGAAAATCAGGATAGAGGAATTAGAGGGAGAGAAGGGGCAGGAAAGAGAAGGGTATTTTAAAAAAAGAAACAAGCTATAATATGTACATGTACTCACTTCCCAAGATGACTATAAACTGCATGAACTGTAAACATGTACCAATAAAATTTTTAAAAGTTAAAAGAAAATTTGTGGCTCACAAATGGTGTTCACTTGCAATCCCAGTACTCCGGGAGGATCACAAAATCCCAGCCTATGTAATTTAGAGACTTAGCAAGATCCTGTCTCAAAGTAAAAAGAAGGGCTGAAGATGTAGCTCACTGTGGAGAGCCTGAGTTCATGGGGCAGGGGCCAGGAGGATTAACAAGAGAAAACCACACAGATTTATTTACTATAATCTTTACATGACACACAAATCTTCATAAGGAAATGAAGACCCAAAGAAACAGTTAATCTTGAAGGTTTTTATACAGGTGTGGTGAAGAATGGTCAATCAAAGGGCAAAGGTACAAATATAGCTGAGAAAAGCCTTAAAACGCCTGTTTGCTTGGGTTGCTCTCTGTGTCTCTTTGTCTTTGGAGACAAAGATGCCCCTCTCTTCCAGGTATACAGAAGACACCTCTCACATGAGCATCTTATAACCTGTTTCACAGAAGAGTCAGAAGATCCTTCCTAGGTTTTATGGCCTGTTTCATGGTAGAATGGTGGGTGGAAAGTCAAGGGAGATCTTCCTGCTTCTTCTGCTTTATAAAATTGCTTCAGCTTCTAATAGTCAATATGCCAAGTTGCCATATTTTGGGGTAACATGTTCTGAATTCCATCTATAGCAATGTAAAGCACCAAGCTTATTACCAAAACTATGGTTTTGTCTGTTATCCAAAAGTCCAGATAAAAAGAGAACAATAACACATCTAGGTGCACAGAACTCCAATATGTATTATAACAACTTAAATATATCTTACAATCATCAGTTACAAATTACAGAATTCCAGATACAAAAACCTCTTCAATCATAACAGATGTTCAGAAAGTACCACTCTATCAAATGTTTGTAACTACTTTTAACAGAACCTCATTTTTATGAAAAAAAATCTCATGTAAAACCACAAAAACACAAAACCCATAAAAAGTAGAGCTATATTGTGTGAGAAGAAAACAGCAACAAACTTCCCTGTAATCTGTCTCTGGCTGGATAAACCATTCTAGATCAGGACAAAAATCATATTCATTTCTCTTTATCCCAAACCTACAAATCACTAAACACCATGTAAAGGCAAGAGGAAATAATCATGCTTCAATTATCAATTGTCTTTCCATATTCTCATTTTACCTGCTAAGATTGAAGAATTTTATTATAAATTCTTTTTGAAAACCACTATGCCAGGTGGATATAATCAAGCAATCAGAATACCTACACAAAGAGATGAAGAGATAATATAAATGAGAACATCCAAAATACATTATGATTACAGAGTAAAACTTCTGATTAAATAGGAGCCTAACAGCCTGGGCCACTGATCAACCAGACTTTTATCATGAATTCTAATTTGAGGAAAATTACTCACCCCAAAAAACAAAATTGTCCAGAAAAATGCTCACATCAAGTACTTAATGAGTATTCTTTGTCCCATCAAACACAAAAGAAAAACAGCCAGTGGTATGCTGGATAACTGCTCAAATACCCCAGTGAACTAATTTTTTATCAATATGTTTGGAAGTGCTCCCTAAGTTGGCTTTTATATGCAATTAAAGCAAAGTGAGAAAGCAGCATCCTACACTCTTGACTCTCATAATTCTGTAACCAAAAAGAAAAAAGAAAGGAGGAAAGGATAAGACAATATGGTACTCACAAAGTGACAGAGCATATTTCAAAACTTCTGAGTTCTTGACCAGAGTCAGGGGTGTGATGTAGAACCTGAGGCCAGATCCACCAGTAGTAACCTTCTGATATTCTTTTGTTAACTATCTTTTGTTATGCATTGTGGTGATAAGATTTATTTCTAAAAATGTGCTTTTTAAGGTCCTTTTAAATTTACCATGAGTGGAATAAATGAATACAGATAAATGTCTTATGGTCAGGAAAAAAGTAGAGATTTTTTTTCATCATTACTGGAAAATAATTGTGATTTCCAGGAACAACTATGAAAAAACAAATCACTGCTTCATGATCCATCCATTTCCTAAATTTGGTGATTTTTTTAATGTTTATGGAAAATTTTTGAAAGATGAATTGGAAAAATATCAGAGGTCTGGGCAGTTATGCTAGGGAAATAATGAAATTTACTTTATCACAGACTTCATGTTGGGAATGAAGGATTGAAATTATCATCTGTGAAAATTAAAACGAATGATACATATTTCATTCTTAGAAATACTACAAATTAGAAAATTGTTCTACTACAAATTCAGATATTTTTAAATGCAAACATAGTAGGCTCACCAAAAGTCACTACTTGGATAATTATAAAATCAAGGTCAGACAACAAAGACAGCCATGCTAAACTGCCCAAGTACCAAATTTTTGGTTTTCCACGCTAGTCTCTGTTAATAAAGAAAAGCAAAAAAAAATTTTCCAGTAGAAAATGCCAATTTCCAGAATTGGTGCAGGAAGTTAGCACAAGAGATAAACTGAATGAGCAAGAAAGGTTTCAAAACCTTAAAATGGCTTAAGTCAGATCTGGGAGTATGGCTCAATGGTAGAGTGCTTGCCTAAAGGCCCTTTGTTCAATTCCTAGCACTAAAAATAAAACGTGGAGGGAAGGGGGAAACAGTATTGCATATAGAAGGAAATACCTACCAAATATTGTAATGTTAATATGAGCATCAAAAAGAATAACGGGGACTGGGGATTTAGCTCAGTGGTTCCGGTGCCTGTATCAAAAGCACAAGGTCCTGAGTTTGAAACTGGCACACACACAAAAAAAGAAGAACAGGAAGATTGGGGAATCAAGATACATCATCTACAGGTACAAATTCCCTATGATGAACATGATCATTATCTATATCTAAAATATACATATAAAATTTTTAGAAAAAGACCTCAAGTATTGCTACTGTCTCTGTTCTAGTATTTGAATTTTTGAGCATATGCCATTGATTTTTCTATAAGTCCATAGGTCTTTAATAAGCAATGTAGAGGAAAACTAATTTCACACATAAAATTAAAAGTATCAAAGTTTCAAAGTATTGAAATATCAAAATAAAAGTGCAAAGTTATGATAAGAAAAACTAAAAACAGAGTAACATCCATGGAGGAGACAAAAAGCATAAGAAAAGACAAACTAACACAAAGGATCAAAACTATTATCTACTACTTTAAAGCAAGCTAAAAGACATTTTTTTTTTTTTGGTACCAGGGATTGAACTCAAGTCCTTGCGCTTGCACAGCAGGCAGCCAAACCACTGAGCTAAATCCCCAGCCCCCTGTCAGT